CGGGTGGCCATCGTGGGCGCCGGGGGCAGCGGGCTGGCTGCCGTCAAGTGCTGCCGGGAAGAGGGGCTGGAACCCACCTGCTTCGAGCGGAGCGAGGACATCGGCGGGCTGTGGCGCTATGCGGTGAGCTTAGAACGTTTTTCCGTTGTTGGCTCTCTGCTTTTTACCTGGCTTCACACTGGAGGAGGGAGACAGAGGAGGATGATTCTTGGAAGCGTCTGTGTAATTTCTAACCCCAAAATGCTTTCTGGGCTTGGATTTTGTTCTCTTGCCTGGAGCAATCCACCTGTGGCAGCCTATACATCTTCCAGCTAAGTAGAAAGAAAAGAAATGACTTTGGACTCTGCATCTGTTCATAGAAAGAGATGTTTCAGCTTTAAAATGGTTGCCATGTGTGTGCAGGAGCATGCCGAGGAGGGTCGAGCCAGCATCTACCGCACTGTCTTCACCAATTCTTGCAAAGAGATGATGTGCTACCCCGACTTTCCCTTCCCTGATGATCACCCCAATTACATGCACAACACGAAGCTCCAGGAGTATATCTGGAAATTCGCCGAGCACTTTGATCTGCTCCGGCACATCCGCTTCAAGGTAGGAAACCTGGAGCGTGGAAGGGGCAAGGGCAGCGAGTGACTGGGGAAACTGGGAAGGGAGACGTCATGTTGGGATCTCCTTGCCATAGGGGAAAAATCCTTCCAGGAACAGGTCCTGGGGAATAGTCGTTAGATGGGGCCTTCTCAGCTTTTCAGGGGTAATGCTAAACCACCAGCCACCATGGGAAAAGTGCTGTTTCTGCATTGTCTTCTCCAGAAGATGGTGGTTTGGGGAACTTTCTCCTGCTTTTCTTTTGTTGTTACTTTCTGATCTGAATCAAGGATCTCAGTTATGAAAAATATAATGAAATGGAAGTACACTTAAAAGTAAAACAGTCTTACATAAGCAACCTTTTAAAAACAAGCCGCAAGCTTAATTCTTTTGTGTGGTGTTTTTTTTTTTCTGCTGACCACTTGCCAAGAAACAGCCATTCCATGGCTTGGTTTGTGCTGAGCTTGAAGCCACGCTCACAAATGAATCTGTTCCCCCAGAGCAACTGGCACAAAATTGCAGAGGCCAATGTCCCCTGGACTGCTTGGGACCCCTGAATCTCACAGGAGCATTCCCAAACCTTCCTATGTGCACCACAAATATGCATGGATCTGTTTGTTCATTCTATTTAAGACCCTGGTCACCAAAGTAAAAAAACGCCCTGACTTTTCTGTTACGGGGCAATGGGATGTGGTTACGGAAAAGGAAGGGAAGAAAGAGACGGAGGTGTTTGACGCTGTTATGATCTGTTCTGGGCATCACGTCTACCCAAATTTCCCTGCTGTCAGCTTCCCAGGTAAGCTGTGTGTGCTTAAGACACCTAACATGACACAGCCAGGAAAGTATCTTCTATCAGACTCTTTTTCCCTGAAAAAAGTAGGGGAAAAAAAGCCTATTTAGCTTTAAAGAGTGTCATTGGCATGATTAGCATTGCTTTTTTTCCATTAAGGAAATCAAAACGTGTTTTTAAAGAAGAAAAATTCAGTATTTAAACTGTATCAAAGCAAGGACATTTTTTTTACTACAGACATTTCTAATCTTTCCATGAAAAAAAGAAAATGATCTTGGAGTGTTTCCTTTTACAAAATCCCTCGGGGAGGAAAAAAAATCTGTTAAGCACTTTCTTTTTGGCATTTTCCTGTGACTTCTAGCACAGATGTCACGCACTTTAGCAGAGTGCCTTTGCCTCTCAGTCATGCTTTTAGGGGCAAAATTCCTGGTGATGAACATGTGCTTTTGGGAACTTTTTCGGAGAATGGAGAGTGCTGGCAGCACGGCTTCAACTCTGGATTGCCAGCTGTGCAGGAACCCTTGCCAGCCAATGCTCTGAGCCCTACGCTTGGATCTGCAAGGACATGACGTAAATGTGTTGCTCACAGGGCACCTTCGCTCTCGATCAGGTGACAACAACTTGCCACTGCTGCCCAAGTGTCTCAACATCCTTGCCCTTGTCTGCAGTCAAGGCCTTGCTGGGCCCTGCTTGGTAGCAAAGATGACTTGGTCAAGGGGAAGAAAACGGTCTCATCTAATATTATTTTGGCCCTTGTTCTTAGGAGCACTAGCAATTGTAGCTGCTTACCCAGATCATTCAGAAATTGTAGTGTCTCAATCGATTCAACACATGAACAGACGTGTTTTGGAGCAGTCTGCTCTAGGTGACCCTACTTGAGCAGGAAGCTAGACCAGAGGATCTCTGGGAGTCCCTGTCAGCCCTAACTACTCTGTGTTAGTCTGGTTGCCTCTTGTTTTTGTTTCTGGGGTGAATTAATTTCCTTTCTTCTCTTTCATGCAGGAATACAGAAGTTTAAAGGCTGCTACTTCCACAGCCGAGAGTACAAGGAGCCGGAAAAATTCAGAGGGAAGAAAGTGCTAGTGATTGGCTTGGGCAACTCAGGCTGTGACATTGCCGTGGAGCTCAGCACTGTGGCATCGCAGGTATGGAGCCCATGGCCCTGCAGCGGGGGAGAGAAAAATTGGAGTCAAGAGTTCACAGCAGGATTGAGAGGCTGGGAAAACCCAGCATATGCCCATGTTCCTTGCTGTGGCCTCTAAGAGCTGCCTCTGACCGTGAAATCACATGCTCACACCTGCCTGGCCATTTCTGCAGGTCTACCTGAGCTCCAGAAGTGGTTCCTGGGTAATGAGTCGTGTTTGGGAGCATGGTTACCCATGGGATATGAAGATCGTCACTCGCTTTCAGACCTGCCTAGGGACCATCCTTCCCAGGGCACTCAGTGACTGGTTGTATGTGAGGAGAATGAACTGGCCATTCAAGCACGAGAACTTTGGCCTCATGCCGGTAGATGGGTGAGCATGTGTGTTTTGTGGAGGGGGTGGCATCAAGGCACGTGGGGTTGACCACAGCACTCATCTCCTTTGCCTCTTCTCCTTTGCTTCATATTCTTCCCAAGTGCAGGGCTTGGCAAGCCTCTCCTGGCATGCCTTTCCTGGATGTTCCCAGGAGCTCCCCATGGGTGATGGCCTCTCTGCCTGTTTCCTTGCAGGACTCTCCGTAAAGAGCCGGTGTTCAATGACGACCTCCCAAGCCGCATTGCATGTGGTGTGGTGGTGGTGAAGCCTAATGTGAAGGAATTCAGAGAAACGTCTGTCTTGTTCCAAGATGGGACAGTTCAGGAGGATGTTGATGTGGTCATCTTTGCTACTGGCTACAGCTTTTCCTACCCTTTCATGGAGGATGACTCCATCATCAAAAGCAGGGGCAACATCACTCTTTACAAAAGCATCCTTCCTCCTCGGCTGGAGAAGCCAACCTTGGCCGTCATTGGACTAGTCCAGTCCCTTGGACCCATCATCCCCATATCAGAGCTTCAGTGTCGCTGGGCAGTTAAGGTGTTCCAGGGTAAGTGGAAGGGCACATCCTGAGCAAAGGGTCTAGCATTTTGCCGTAGTGGTGTAGTTGGGAATTACCAGTTTTAATAGCAAATTTGGTGGAGAATATATATATATATTCTCCCCTCCCTGTCCTTGGGTGGCTATTTTTATTTCCCTGCCAGAGGTATCATATTGCCAGAAACAGATGCAGTGTTTTGTATGTCTACAGCCTAATGATGGAGGGAGAGAAGAAGCCAAGTGGAAGTTTCAGTCTCAAGGGAAGACTGATAATAGCTTTTTGTGTGTGTGTGTTTATTTTCCCCCATATCAATTATTATTTCACAGTTACAAAGCCACCTCACTGGTCTCTGTGTGATGAGGTGCCTTGTTCCATGGGAGAAGTCATTTTTCAGACTGCTGCCAATGGCTACGAGGTCCTCATGGTGGAACAGCAGATTCTCTTGGGCACAGTCACACATATTAAAGGAGCAGGGGGGAGTCAGTGTCCTACAGAGACAGCTTCTGTAGACTCCTGGTTTTGTCATGCCCTGGAGACCCAAGACTGACTCGAGCCCAGAACTTCATGCCAAAGGAAAGAGAAGCCCTGAGGCATGGAAACCCTGTTGGCTGTGAGGGGGATCTCCCAGACATCCTCTCTTGACCAACACTCTTCCTGCTGTTTCCAGGGCTGTGCAGACTTCCTTCAGTGAATGAGATGATGGATGACATTGATGAGAAGTCAGGGAAGAAGCTGAAGTGGTAGGTGCAGCTCACAGTGACCTCACAGGGAGAGGACCAAAAGCCATGCCTTTCTCAGCTGCCTGTGGGTGGAAGGACAGACACGGGGAGAGCTGCTGGGAGAGCAGCTCACAAGCAAGGGGAAGGCAGCTTCTTCCAAGGGGTTTCTCTGAAATGCCCTGTTCAATTCTCAAACATGTTAATCCACAGGTTGCCTCTCTGCAACGGAGGAAAACTCAGCCCAGCTCTCACTGGTGTTGGTGGATATGTTTCTACTTGGAGCTATTATAGCTATGTGTTTCTACCACTTGTAGGGCCTGAACTATGCAAATTTGGGTGGAAAATTTCTGGTTTAAAGGTTTCTTGTTCAAAAATGCTTGTTTGCTGTTATCGAGCCCATCAGTTTGAAAACATGTTCTGTGCTCAAATGCAAGGAGAGTGAAGCTCCTGCAAAAATAGAACATTTCTGTCCATATTCTTCAAACTGACATTTTAGTTTCATAAATTACATAAAGATGCCTTGTTTTCCCCCACTCTGAGTGTATCTCATGCTATAGCTAAGCAATATTTTTTTTAGAATATAAAAAGTAAAAATAAGAATATAAGCAGTCAAAACTGAGACATGACCCAAGCAATGACCCAAGCATGACCCAAGACAGGTTCTCTGTCCCTTGCACTGAAGAAAAGAGATGCTGAAAATTAGTCAAAACTGAGACATGACCCAAGCAATGTTTTACTTCGTTTTTAGAAACCGTTGCGTTACAGGAAGTTTCAACATGCAGCATTGTACTATGATCCAGATTTCTTCATTAATGCCAGTAATAATTGTTCCATATAATGGTGCTCCCAGATAGCTTGGGGACGGGTAGAGCAAGGGACAGACACTGTTGTCTCCACTATACCAAAAGGGGATGTGTCGTATTCCCTCTTTTGGGAACTTCCAGCAGGAACAGGTTCTCTGTCCCTTGCACCGAAGAAAAGAGATGCTGAAAATTACAGAGGGCTCCTGTTGTGTTTTGCCAAGTTCCTGCACTGATTTGACCCTGCATGGAGATTTCTTTGTCCTTTTTTTTTTCTTTTCTTTTCTTTTTCTTTCCTTCCTACTAAGCCGGAGCAAGGAATCTGAGTGGAATTAGAGTTTAGGTTTTACTCCTCTACTCTGGCTTAAAGTTCCTTTAAAATACAAGGAAAGGAGACAGTCAATGACAAATGTTGTTGGCATGGACAGGGTCTCCTTTCGCACAACGTAGCAACTTACCTTAGCACTTGCACTTATTACCTTACACAATTTGCACTCTCCATTTGAACCAGATCCCACTGCAGACCTGGAAGGTGCAACATGAAAGGACACCATGAGAGTGGCCCATTGGACCTAGCACAGAAATGGAGGCCACAAAGCAAGCTGGCCGAGTGGCATGAGTGATTTCTAGCCCCAGAATGGGGAACTGAGCTCCCGCACCACCTCTTCTTTCTGCCGCCATGTGCTGCAGGAGGATCTTGGGGCTGTGCGAGGTAAAATGAAAAGGAAAAATGTGTCAAAAGGAGCCTTGTCTTCTCTCTCCCCAAAGGTATGGGACCAGCAACACTCTGCAGATGGATTATATCACCTACATGGATGAGCTGGCCACCGCCATTGGCGTGAAGCCCAACCTGCCCAAGCTGCTGCTGACGGATCCGCGGCTGGCGCTGGAGGTCTTCTTCGGCCCCTGCACCCCCTATCAGTTTCGGCTGACGGGGCCGGGAAAGTGGAGTGGTGCCCGGAGAGCCATCCTAACCCAGTGGGACCGGACGCTGAGGGTCACACGGACGCGGGTGGCCCCCACCACCTCTGTGACCTTCCCCATTCTGGTGGTGCTGAAGCTGCTCTTCCTCCCACTGCTTCTCCTGGCCGTCCTCGCTGCCCTTTACTGCTAAGAGAGGCTTGATGAGAAGCAGCCAGGTGGGAAGTGGTGTTACCATAAAACAGTCCATGAAAGTCCTGACCAATGGCACCGATAAATAAAATGCCATCTCCGTGCTTTTTAGACTTGGGAGCCTTCTTGGCTGGGTCTAGGGCAGTGTAAATCCCAAGCCTAGTAATGCTGCTTATGTTATCCCTCAAAACATGGCCCAAAAATGGGTTTATGGGTTATAAATGCCTCCATCTCCCATCTCATTTCTCAGTGAAAGCCTGGAGCCAACATGTTGGTTTTGCTGTGAAGCTTGCCCTTTGGGTGAAACTAACTCAATTTAGTTGGCACTTCTGATTAATCAATGTCCTCATAAATAAACACCCATATTTGTGGTTTTTCCTCCATCAGAAAAAGACACCAAAATGAAAATTTTCAGCTGAAAACAAAAGTAACTACATCAAAAGAATATTTCTTTGCAAAAGATAAGATTCCTTTGGAAAATAATGCTCTCCAGCTTATATAAGTTGCCTGCCGGCACTGAGAACAACATCTGGGCTTTGCTGGAGCCCACATGCTTTCGAAAGCAGACATGAACCATATCCAAAAGCCCAAATAATCAGTCAAGCTTGGGTTGTGTAATCAAAAGTGGCAGCTGCAGGGCTCTTAGAAGGACATCGGTGCTTAGTTCGAGCGGGCACTGTGGCAGGGTCGAACCTTCTGCAAGCACCTGGGTACTGGATGAGGGGTTCACTGAGACTATGGGAGCTCCTTGCTGGAAAGAAAGATGTTTCCCAGGAACACAGGCCGTTGTTGCCAGCCCCCTGCTAATGCCCAGGGCAGCCTGCGGCCCCAGGATACACTCACCATGTGCTGTCTTTTTGCAAAATACTCCACAGTTTTATGAAGCACCAGATAAATGCAGAGTAGTACGGTTATCCTAAGCTCTGGATCTCCAAATGAGATTAAAGGACAGGTTGATGCCCCCGGCTACTGGCTGAGAACACTGATAATAAGCTCTCTGGTGCCAGGAGATGAAGGTTTATAGTTTCTCCCAACACAAATCATGCCTATATAGGAAACACCTCTGGTTTTTGCCTTTTGTCTAAGTCAAAAAAGCTCAAATGTACTATATATCTCAAAAATACAAATACAAATAAAAACGCAGCGGAATCTTCTAATTAGCCTTTTGGATTTTTTTCCTACAATTTAGCAAACAGCACATGCTGTATCTGTGTGGTATCAATGCTGGCTGATGGCTGCAGCCTCATCACTAGCCAGGACACAGGGTGCCAAGGCAGAAGATGCTGCTGTTTGCTTGATGCTCAGAGGATGCAGTCGGTGGGTGAAGGATGACAGGGAGCCCCTGCAGCTCCGGGCTATTGTCACGGAGACTAACGGGAAGAAGGAATCAGCCATTTTTGATGCTGTGCTGTGTTGGTCACCGTAGAGATCCATATGCCCCACTAGAGCCCATTTGAGGGAAAGGCTGTTTATAAAGTGCTGTGACAAGCGCTTGCCTAGCAACAGGGTTAATAAGTTGCATATATGCCAGATGGGAAGGCTATTTCCACAGAAGAACAGCCAAACAGCTGTACGCCAGGAGGATGGGAGGTGGCTGGCTCCTACACAACTGGCCAGGGCTGCTGGCCGCTGGGCCCACAGCTACACCCTTTTCAGGGAGGTTGAAACCCAAATCCTCCAGGCTGTCTTTGGCTGGAAGCTAGTGGAAGTTCACTGTGCATGTGGACAGGCACCATCCCACGTCACCTGGGGAAGGTGGACAGCACTAACAGCCCAGCCAGCACCTTTGTATGATCCAGTCCAGCAATGAGTGCTGCAGTTTCACAAAATGCTACAGCCCTTGGCTTGCTCTGACCCTATTGTTTTGATGTTTTTGGTTGGAGGCCATGTTCCCTGCATGTGGAGAAGTGTTGGGTGATCCAGGATGTCCTTGGCTCTAGAACAACGCTTTGAGTATGGGTCATCTCACTGGATGCAAGGCAGAGACCGACATTCACGCCAGTCCTGTCACTCTGTCAGAAAACTCTTTTGCAGCAAAGCTATGACTTTGGGTAGTACAAACTGCGCTGAAGAAGACAGTGTGACCTTCAAAGGTAGGGTATGCATCAAAAGCATCTTAAAGGAAACGTTGCAAAATCAGGCTAGACTGAAATCCAACTCAGGGATGTCCTCAAAGAAACTGGAGGTCGTTTGTGAGCATGTGTTGTTTCTTCCTATTTGCGGCCTTCCATGCCTCCCAAGTTTCATGCTGTTTCCCTGCAAAATCCTGCCAGTTGGGCAAAACCACCCCCTCCCCGCTCCCCTTCATGCATCCTTGCACCCCTGCCATTGACAGCAGCAGTGTCATACATGCCCTGGATGTGGCATTGGCAAGTGGGGTGAGTTTCTGAGCTTTTTCTCTGTGCACTGCAGTTCTGGGGGAGAGAGACAACTGCTGAGGAGTGATGCGGTTCTGAGCCAGTCTCATCTCAGTACAACTGTGCTTTGCAGAGGCATCGTGTGTTACAAACATGCCAGCCATCTTACAGTGTCTGCTAAAAAAATAGCAGTCTCTTCTGCAATATTCAGAGAACAGCGGCTCTCATTTCTGCTGCCTCAGCAGCAGCAAGACACTATTTCAACAGTGCTCATAGGTTTCTTTCATGCTTTCTACGAAAACCCACTTACCCCACTTTTTTTCCCCCCCTTCTTGGCCGAAGCAATATTGCAGTTTGTGGGGTCTTTCTTTCTCCCTCTCTTTCTCTCTCTGCCTCTCTTTCTCTCTTTTGCTCTCTTCCTCTTTCTTTCTTTGAATTGATGTGTTTTGTATGAACCACGTAAGCTCAGGCAAAGGCTGATCTGCCACTGAAGAGATGGTTTTTGCCATCTCCATAGAAACTAAGTCTTGCTCAAGGATAAATGAGGGAGCCCAAAATGCTGGCCTAACTCAAGGAAAGAATCATCCAATACACCGAGGCACTGCTGGTGCGCTCATGTTGGCCTGTGTGCAATCTGGCAGCCTTGGCTGTGGTGGTCTTTGTGACCTCTCCCAGCCCTGATCCCCTCAAGCGCGTGTCAAGCTCACAGAGAACCAACCCAATACTCTGAAGGGTTCAGGATGATTTCCTATTGGAAATAACTTTTCATGTAGAAATACCATCCACCAGGCGGTGGGGCTAAGCCACAGGAATGCTGAGCAACTCCAAACCCTCAGGCCCACCTGTGAGAGCTTGGCAGCTCTTTAAACCTATTAGCAAGCTAATCAAAGGCAGGAGAGAGTCATTTATCACTTTAATCCAGGAACTCCCATTTAAACTGCTAGAGAGGCAATGATGCAAAATCTCCTCAAATACAGACAAGTATGATTATCTATGTGTTGATCAGTTTATCTGCATTTGAAGATAAGAGAAGACTTGAAGACAGGTGAGGCAAACAAGGATGGTCAATTAGGGCTGCTCTGGAGGAGATGTCTCCTGTGCTCCTGAAGTTCCTTCTCATCCTGCTTCCTAGGGGCTGATGGAACTCTTAGAGCCAAGAAACGATTTGTCAGCTGATATTAACTGGTGCAACTTCTCCAGAGCCTATCCTAGCTGTTTCTTTGCAAGGCAAGTGTGAGTAGTGTGGTAGTGGTACAGTGTTTGGGGTTTGTTTGTTCTCTCCTTCTAAATGATTGTTTCTGGTAATGAATATGTAAACTTAGTCCTTCCAGATGGGAGTCTGGGTGTCCTGGTGTAATGCAAAAATGTATGTCTGTAAGAATGAAGAGTGTTTCTCTGAGGAGCAGGGATGTCAAGTATGGGAACACTTCAGTTCAAGAGGCTCTTACAGAGGCTGCAGGAATTAAAAGACTTTTAAGTGGATGGAGCTAGAAGCATGGTCAATGTTTGCTCAAAAAAGGTATCAATTGGCTGATTAACTCTTGAAAATTTATTAACTGTTGAAAAACTCTTTAAGGTTGACTGGTTTCATCTGACAGCACTAGTAGGAGAGTGACTATTATGCTACAGAGGATAAGATACTCCTAATACTTCAGCCTCCTTCCTTCTCTGAGCAATTAATGTGCTTTACTGTGATCTCTGCTCTCTGGTTAGATGTTCAGAATATCACAGCTGCATTCGTTTGGCTTGAGATAGGCAGTTTAACCCACTCTTGTGAAGGCTAAGTGTAATCCTTTTGCAGTCAGTGTGTTCCCTCTAATCCTAATATGCTGAATAATGGGAGCAAATGGAAAATGTGGACTTGTATTCTGCATTTCTTAGATTTCACAGAGCTTGTAAACATGGAAAGGAACCACCTATGAAGAAAACCTATTTTTCTTCTCGAATTCCTTCAGTGTGATGTACTCCAAAGGCAGCTGACTCAAGCCTGAAAAACAGCAATGCAGGCTATGCTAAGACTTGTTGAATTGTAGATTTGCCCCTCCTTAGCTCGAGGGGTTACTTGACAGAGATGATAAAGCAGTGCCAGAATTTTGCAGAGAAAGTACCTTTCCCCAGGCAAGGACAAGAACCTGCTGGATTCTTTCCTGTCTTGTTTGGAGCAAACAGGCTGTTTGGAGCTGTTTGTCCTCCTTTTGCCCACTCAGTTTGAAGTGGGAAGGGAAAAAGCCTGTTGCAGAACTGAGGTTTGTATGATGGTGATGTGATAAACATGGTGCTGGGGAGTTTTGCCCTTCAAGGGGAGAAGGGGGCTATGCAGCATGCAGGACATGTTGGAGCAGTGCCCTGTTCCCAGTGCTTTTCCTGGACCATTACCATTTATCCACTGCTCCTGGCCTCTGCAGCAGTGTCTGCTTCCCACTTTCCTGGGTCACTCACAAGGATGCTCTTCCCTTGCAGTATGTCCTGGTGCCTGGACTGCTGGCTGGGAGAGGGCCGGTCTCAACCTCTCAAATCCCTGTGAGGAAAGATAGGGCAAGTGTATTTCCCAAAACTATTACCCTCATGCTAAGAAGGGAAATTCAATGGGACCTTTTGGGAACCTCTTGTTCAGTGTGACCTGTGCTTGGGTCAAAAATCAGGC